GTCCTGCTTTTTTGTTGGTTCCCTGTGGCTTCTAACCTGCGTGAGAGTGGACTGTTCGCCCTTTCCACCTGGTACACGGCTGTCTTCCTTGGATCTCCCCTCTCCTTTACTCTGGAGACTCCCCTCACCACCCCCAGTGTCGGATCTCCCGTATCCTGGCCCCCACATTTTCCTCTTTCTTGGTTTACTTCCTCATTTGGGTGGAACATGCCCTCCAATACTTCCTGCAAAAGTGCGCGGGTGGTACATTTTCTGAGACCAATGTCTTTGTTTTACCAGTGCACTTAATTGAATTGGTAACTTAGCTGATTATAGAATTCTAGTTTGGAAATCATTTTCCTCAGAATTTTGAAAGCATTGCCTCTCTGATTTTAGGTTCCAGTGTGTGGATGCTAAGAAATCTGAAGCCATTGTTAGTCCTAATTCTTTATTTGTATGTGTAAACTGTTTTTTCTCTGTGGAAGTTCATAGAATATTCTCATCCCCAGGGGTCAACAGTTTCGAAGTGTGCTTTAGTGTGTGCCTATTCTCAACTACTGTGCTAGGCTTGCAAACTGTAAAGTTATGCCCTACCATTTTGGGACATTTTCTTAAATTATTTCATTAATTATTTCTCCATACATTCTGTGTTCTCTCTGGCACTCCTGTTGTCCTAGTGCATCTATTGGTTTGAATTTACCATTTTTTTCTCTAGTTACTATGTATCTTTGTCTTTACTTTGGGGACATCTATCTTCTAGTTCCTCTCATGATTTAAGTTTCAGGAGCTCTTTTTTTATCCTTTTTAATGGATACAGTATTTTATCTGTTTAATTTTTGTCTTTCATGTTAGAAGTTTTCGTTAAATGTCTGGTAGTTCTTGCTTGTGTATTCACATTTAAGAGGGAGGCTCTTGGGCTTCTGGCTTTCCAAGGAATAATGGCTGCTTCCTAAATCTGAATTTCTGTCATCATCTTCCAAAAAATCATGCAAAGAGAGCAGTCACCCAACACCTGTGCCTGCAGCATAACTGGGAGACACAGAAAAAAACTTGAGCTTATGTGAAAGCAGAGAAATAAGTATCTGAAACTAGAGCCAGCATCAGAACCCACATGAGGGCCACAGTCCGGTGGAAACCATATGGCAAAGAGACAAAGGCCACAGGGGGCCTAGTGGTGGCAGTACCAGGAAAAAAAAGTAGGAACCCTACTGTGAGTGGTGCCAATACTGATAAACCTGATACCAGTGCATCTGACACCAGCCACTGGGGTGTCAGAAGGGGAAGAAGTTTGAAGGTTCATGAGATGGAAGGTGGCCATTTGGAGGAGGTACCATTTCTTGGAGAGAGGGAGATGTTTCTCAGAGACTTGATGGTGAAGTGGAAGAAGGAAGCAAGGGTCCCACAGGAAAAATAAAGAATTGCAGAACCAGAAGAGACTCCAATCCCTTCTACCGCACTTCCCCAAGAAGTGTCATCTCTGGGAAATACTGCATTTCATTCTAACAACAGAAGAGAACACTCTTGAATGAAGGAAACAGTAAGCCACACAAACTCCTTTCCCCTGCCTATAGAGGACCATTTTTGCAAACCATTTTTGCAAACCAAGGAAAACAAAACCTTTCAAAATGAGAACAAGCAAGGAAGGTAATATCCATGAATTACTATAAGAAGAATGAGAATCATGGATAGCTGATGAAAACTCTAAACTATAAGGCAGAAGAAAACTGATAATATCCAGTCTGAATTAAATAGGCCTCTACAGAAATAAAAATTAACATTTGAAATTAGAAATCTAAAAATCTCAGATCAAAAATGGATAGAAGGGAGGAAAGAAACTCTCAGGAAGCTGAGAAACAAGAGTTGATATAACTTAGCAAAGAAATTTTGAAAAAGACGATTATCTTAAGATTAAGCTGCAAGGAAGAATAGATTCAACTAAAAACATAATGAAAGGGCTGGAAAAGCAGGGAAGCAGCCAGGAGAACAATATAGTTATGAAGGGTTAGAAAGTGCAATGGAGACTCACATTCACACACACTAGATACACAATGAAATCCTGTACAACAGTAAGATGGAACAGTCTATAAACACAACAGGGATGACTCTCATGTTGGGGACCCCATGAAGGTGGCTATTTCAGTATTTGGTGTTAACAATACAATTAAATACAGGTCCACCTTATAAATGAAGCTATTTATATATGTATATATACACACAAATTTATATGTATTGAATTATTTTAAAGCCATGCAAATATGTAAAAGAATCCTATGAGGAGTCTTTTGTTAGAAAAAAATACCCTCCCAGTGTCATGTAAATCCTGATTTTCATATATTTAGTTTGTAAGAAATGCTTAGGATCTGGAAGTGATCTGCAGTCTTGAAAATACATCTAAACTTTGCTTCTTCAGTGTTCATTAAGCTGTTTTTTGCAAAGGCATATAATCACAAAACATGAGCAATGCTAAGCCCTTTCATTCACTCAACACCAAGAATCTAAAAGGTAACTGTTTGCTCTATCAGACCTCTGAGGTTGCGGCAAAGGACATAATTTACATCCCAGGAAGCTTTCAGACCAATCTAGACAAGCTAGAGCAAAGTGTTAGACATATTCAAAGGCAGAGTACTGTAATTTAAGAAATAATATAGAAGTACAGGTCTTGCCTTGTCTGGAAGACTTCCTGTTGAGCATGGGCATGTTTTTGCCACATCTGGGTACTAGTTTCTTGCAGAAGACGTGTTCAGAGTGAAAGGTGAAATCTTCGAAAAACAAGCTTAGGTAGATTAAGGTGCCCTGTTAGATCAGTCCTTGTTTGTTTGGACAGGCACACATTCTTGGCCTGCTGTGTCCCCTCACGGCAGGTTGAGATCATAACCTGTTCTTTCCCATCTAGGAATCAGAACTGGCAATTAGTGTTCAAGTTGTCGGTAAGTTTCTTTCTCTCATCCATTTGGCTTGGCTTTGCCTCCTGTTTTTCAGCTATTTGCCAGGAGCACCACCTAGTGTTCAGTAAACGAGGCTGAATCTTTTGCTAGGGTTAGTGAACCAAAGCCAACAGCAACTTGTTTCTGAACTACAGTGTACAATGTTGTCAACTCTAATAATATGGTTCCAGAGTTCCTTAAGATCCTAAAGTCTTACTTTTCACTTCAAAAGATACGTTATGATGAAGTATGTAATTATATAACTTCTAACATTCTAATGGAATATTAAGAAAAATTAAAGCCAGAGCTAATCTCCACATTGTATCTGTTTCTGCTAATTTCAACTCTCTGGTCACTTTTTTTTGAGACAGAGTCTTACTCTGTTGCTCAGGCTAGAGTGCCGTGGCATCAGCCTAGCTCATAGCAACCTCAAACTCCTGGGCTCTAGCAATCCTACTGCCTCAGCCTCCAGAGTAGCTGGGACTACAGGCATGCCCTACCATGCCCAGCTAATTTTATATACATATATATATATATTTAGTTGTCCAACTAATTTATTCTTTTTTTAGTAGAGATGGGGTCTCACTCTTGCTCAGGCTGGTCTTGAATTCCTGAGCTCAAATGATCCTCCCGCCTCGGCCTCCCCAGAGTGGTAGGATTACAAGTGTGAGCCACCACGCCCAGCCCAAATTTTTTAAAAGTGATATAATTGAGGCAGGACTTTCTGTTTGGGGTAGAGACTAGGTCTTGCTCTTGCTAAGGCTGGTCTCATACTCCTGAGCTCAAACCATTTGCCCACCTCGGACTCCCAGAGTCTTAGGATTACAGGTGTGAGCCACTGCGCCCGGCCACTTTAATTTTTAATTGTCATATTTAAGTTTCACTTTACGTGGTGGATATGCTGATAGTCATAACAGTCATAACTACTACAACAAATTGCTAAAAAGGCAACAGTAGCCTCAAGGACAAAAAAATTGAGACAAAGAATAAAAGGAAGCCATTGGCTCAGGATAATTAAGTACCAGGATTAACAAACCACAAAAAGAACTAAAATACTGTATGTGCCACAGGCACAGGGTCCCAGCTAGGTTTTTGGTCTTTTTTTTAGGAATAAACATCAACTGTTTCATTTTGACACTCTCTCTCTATATATATATATGTGTGTGTGTGTGTGTGTGTGTGTATGTATATATGTTTTCAAAGCTTACCGTAATTTATTTTAAAATCCTATAAGTTCTGAAAACATACATAATCTTGGAGCTTCGGTACAATGGGACTGTAGTTTTTTTGGTCAGTATTTTCCTATCCACCTTAGAATTTCCAGTTAGGATATCCATTTAGTCTACAAAAGCAAAACAAAGTTTTCTAAAAGTTTTCTAGGTAATGTGTAAGCTTGACTTTAAAAAGCACTGAATTTTTATAGAAATAGAAGCTCTAGCTCATCTCCACGATAAAGGACAATAGCATTTTAAAGGCTGCACCAGAATTATTAGCTCTATTATTAAGGTAAAAAGTTTGCTTTAACCACTTCGGTATGAGCGTTGACTGTAGTCAACAGCCACAGGTGAATATGCACAGAGACTTTAGCTGACAGGCATGATACAACTTTTCTAATTTTTCATTTATCAAAATTGTGAACATTTAAAAATAATGTAATGAAAACAAGCTTTCAGTGCTTTAAAGCTTTCCTCATCACACAAAAGCAAAACCGATCCATTGTCAGTGCACAGCACAAACTATCGTGCGGACTACGAGTGCCGGCTGTGGGCAAGGTTTCGCGGGTGGTGAGTGCCGCACCAAAGTGCTTAACCAGGCCAATTTGACTCACCCTAGACTCAACTTGGATGTTGTCTCCTCCAAGAACTCTCATCCTTCCTAGTCTTCCCACAGCACCCGGCAGAAGCCCTTGTCATAGCAATTACCAGACTACTGAGATTAATCTGCTTTTGTCACACTCCCCAACTAGGCTTTAAAAAGCTCCTTGAAGATACGGACCAGGGGTCCTCAAACTTTTTAAGCAGGGGGCCAGTTCACTGTCCCTCAGACTGTTGGAGGGTGTCGCACACATTCCACACATGCGCACTGTGGGCCCGGGACGAGTGGGCTGCTAATAAGCAGGACAGGCAGTAGTGGCAAAAATACCCAGCGGGCCAGATAAATGCCCTCAGCAGGCCACATGTAGCCTGCGGGCCATAGTTTGAGGATGCCTGACATGGACTATCTTAGTTATTTCATAGCTCTAGAACTTCATATGGTGTGGGCTCAAAAGTATTTAATTACACACAATTTGTTAAATTAGAGAAAATGATCCTCTAGGAAAATGTAGCTGCATATATATTCCACACACTACACATATTTTAACAGCCATTTATCTATAAATATTTATTAAATACAATTTTTTAACTTCATGCTTTAATAAATATCAAAACTTGTGAAGATCCAACCAGGCTAAAATGAAAAAGTTTGGTAACAGTGTTAAGGCTGGTGAACAACTGCAATGCTCCTACGCTGCTGGCAGGCGTGTAACCTGGCTGTATGTACTAAAGTTAAACATGCCCTGTGACCCAGCCACTGCACTCCTGGGTACATACCCAACAGAAAAGAGTAGAATGTTCTTTCTTAGCAGCATTATTCTTAATAGCCCCAATTTGGAAATAATTCAAATGTCCACGAATACTAGAATGGATGAAAAAATTCTGGCATATTTATGCAGATACTACAGAGCAATGAAAACGAATTTCTGCTACACAGAACAACAAAAATACTACTTAATGAAGTTCAAAAATAGGCTAAACTAATCTGTGGTGATAGATAGAGGTGAGAAGAGTGGCGAACTTTGTGGCTGGTATGGGTAGGGGGTACGGACTGGGAATAGGCACCTATAGAAGGCCTTCTGCGGCAATGGGAATGTTCTCTAACTTGATCTGGGCAGTACACAGGTGAATACTATGTAAAAGTTTATCCAGCTGTATACTTAAAAATCTGTGTACCTATATTGCAACAAAGAAAAAAAAACTTGTGAACAACTAAGGTCTTGGGACTATGGCCAACATACTGGAAGTACAGCCATGAGACAAAAAGTAACCTGATAAAAGTACCTTTGTCCCTTCCCTGTAACATGGAAGAGCACACTTTAAAAAAGAAATACGCTTTTTTTGAACGCAAAAAGGGTATTTCTTTTATTATAATGGTTTCAACTTTGGCTTAAGGTTTATAATACTGTTTCTAGATAATTTTCCACTGTTCTATAACTAGGTAACTTTGTTATGTTATAAATACCAGTTACTTAGCACTGAGTTTTAACCACTCATTTTGCTAAATTTTGAGAAAACAGCTAAACTCAATATAAAATCTGGCCTACGGAATTATAGTGGCTATTTGTTGCTAGTAATATTCCAAAAGAAATGTACTTATTTTACCATATTACTTATCTAACCTAAAATCTGCTGTCACTGTTTAGTAAAGGTAGAACAGAGGAATAAAATTCTTTAAAATACAGAAAATGTATTTTCTGTTAAGATTTTACAAAAAAACAAAAACCCAGAAAAACAAAAAGTTAGAGTGCCCTAAAACAACTCATATACTTTGTACTCTAGTGTTTTCGGCCAGTATGTCTGACACTATGAAGATTCAGTTTAGGGAATGAGTTTTAATATTATTAATAAATAAATATTCAGTTTAAATACCTGACAGGATTCCTCATGAATTATTTTTAGGGAAGTACACATATGAAAAGATTAACAGATTTAAAAATCTTAAAAGAGCAAGAAAGAACAAAAGTACCTAAAAATTATACATATATATAGGCAGAACAAACTCTGAGGCAAGAGTGAATGAATGTAGCACCCTGAGACAAAATATTGTTAATTACAATCTTATATATGTATATATAAAATAAAACATTTTGTATTGGTTGTTTAAACTAGATTATAACATACAAATCTTAGCATTAACCCAAAACTTCCTGATGGCTGACATAGCCCATTAGTGAGGTAATACAGGTAGAGTATGAGACTCATTCATTTTTCAAAGATGTTTTCAGCTTTTGACTTCGATGCTATCACTTGCAAGGCACAAGTCCAAGTGCTCATTAATTTGAGATTCCAAAACTTTGTTCTGACAAACTGGGCAATTAACCATTTTGCTCTGACTGCATGAACTATTGGAATTCTGAGTTGTGGTTATAGGACGTGAACTACATTTTGGATCATTACCATCACTTTGCATTTGCTCTTTCTTGATAAAAAAATTGTCAAAAACAGTCTTGTCTTCTAGCCTGGGTCGTTTATTTGGGAATTTATCTTCAGACCCACTCACCTCCTGGGAGGCAGTCACAGATGTTGATTCCACTGCTTTTAAAGAATTTCTTAGGGATTTCTTAGAAGATGTGACCCTTCTTTGAGAACTGGAAGAAACTGAATTTTTAGTGATGTCACCAACTGTTAAGGATTTCGTTGGAGAAGATCCATTCACACTTCTGAAAGCCTTTTGGTTGGCAGCTGATACTCTAGGAAAATAGTTGCTTAAAACATTTTGGTGACTGGTATTAAGAACCGGAGAGATTAGATGAGAGGTTTTTTTACTTGAACCATTCTGTTCAAATTTCACCTGAGTTTTAGAATTAGGTCTTAGAGTGTTTGCTGAATGGTCTTGACTTAAAAGATCTTGGGTTTTATTAATGGCCTGTGAGCTGATCGATTTCCCAGATGACGGTAAATTGCTTGTTTCTCCTAGAACGTATCCTTTCCCACTAAAAGGGATTAACAGCTGTGCCTGACCTCTATTGGGTTTATCTGCAAAAGAACCAAATAAGATTTTTTCTTAACTCAAAATAAATACAGTAACAAATATCAAGTTAATGGATAATCTTCTCAAAATTAGGAAATAGTAATTTATTCTAACTTAGATCCATACAGTAATTACCTATTACTGGGAGAGGTACAGTCTTCACAAGTGAGACCTCTGGTATTGCCAGAACATAAAGAATAAAAAAATTCTCTCATATTGAGGTAAAGAATCCTGTCATGTCGAAGACCAGTAACAAAGTAACATTTACCTTGAACATTTCTTAGTTTCCTTTATGCATAATTCCAGACGGGGAAAATCTGCTGTCTCATTTTTATTGTTCCTCCAACTCACAAAAATGAGGATACAGTCTCTGCTACATAAATTCTTCTGTAGCTTCTTGACTTACTGAACATTTCAGATTTGGGAACCATATCCTATGTTCCTGGGTTCTACCACATCAAATCAACAACTTTCCAAGGGAAGAAGCATCAACTTCAGTGACCTGGCTACCACCTCAAAGGTAGGAACTAAACTTCCCAGGAAAGGGATAAATCTTGAAGATGAAAAAATGGCAAATATATGTCCTATCCTTTTCCCATTCTTCTCCCAGTGAAAGTACATTAATCAACAGCAGAAGTCGCTTTGATAGAATCCCAGGGACTTCACTAGGGTCTTGATTGCTTAAAAAAAAAAAAGAATCCCAGGGATAAGAAGGAGTGTACTTAGGCCTTAAATTCCGGGCACTGCTACTTAAAATATTATTTTTACTTTGACAAACTTTTTGCCTTCTGTTTCCTAATAACGCAGTGAGTCACAATAGGGAAAAGAACTTTACCTCAAGAATTATCAGTGGAAACTATCCCTACTTTTATTCACTTCTATATAGAGCAAAGTATATTTTCCTTTCATTTCATGGACAATGGGATTTTTCCCCCAAGTCTACAAATTGAAAAGTTCTACACTAGAAACAACCCTTAAGCTTATGTTAATGAGTTCTCTAAAGGATAGTATTGTCTGGACATTGTAGCTATGGTCATGGAAAGGTTAGAAGAATATAAATGAAGGTACCTTTATTTTCTATTGCTGACGCTGGGTGCTTTCCTGGTTTTGTCTTTCCTTTGCCTTTTTTTGAGTAGTTCTCTGGTTCCTTGATTTTTATATAAGTGCCTCCACAGGTTTTCTGGTGCTCAGCCCACCAGTAGTCATTAGCAGAGGGAGCCCTGTTGGTAGCACGTTTGACGTAGCCATAATACGGTTGTTTGTGCTGGCACGGCCCATCGCAGCGCCACCAGTGTCGTCGATACTCATCCACCTCGTCATGAAAAGTATGGTATATCTGGGTTGACAGAGAATTTTTAGCATTCAGTAAGCAAGTTAATATTAAGTAGCCTTTAAAAAACATTCTTGAAACTTTCCTAGAGCTTTCTGAAAAGTTCTGTTTTAAGAAAGACAGCAACTATATTTAGTTTCTGTTCAAAAGTTCATTTTAATGAGAAACAGGAGTTAATTTAATACTTCCTAAACCAGGAGTCCCCAATCTACAGTGAGTTGTATAATCTTTTCATTATCTATTACAATGTAATAATAATAAAAATAAAGTGCACAATAAATGCAATGTGCTTGAATCATCCTGAAACCATCCCTCCCTCCCTAGTCTGTGGAAAAATTGTCTACCATGAAAACGGTCCAACGGTCCCTGGTGCCAAAAATGTTGGGGACCACTGTCCTAAACTGTGTAAAGACAGAGGCATGTGAAATTAGAAGTCAAAAAAATTTTGAAAACAAAACTAAAAAATCCTCTATGAATACTATAGGTTTCAAAAACCAAATTTTAAAATGATCAAAAATTAGGACAAAGATTTTATATAACACCGTAATAAGAATTATTCCCACTGCTAAATTAAAATTTCCCCTGTAAGTACCGATAGCAACGGTACTTACACGGTATTTCAACGGTTGTGAAGGATTAAACTGCAACACAAGCATCTTACCCAGTGAAGCCTCTAAACTCGCTCTCTGCATTCTCAAAGCTCTTTGTTCCTGTCTCTCTAATAAGACTTATCAACTAATAGTTTATCTGTTTTAAAGTGTGTTTCTCATACCAGACTGAAAAGTTCTCCAGGATTCAAATGTTTTCATTTTTTGTGTCCCTAGTTGCTAATACAGTGCTTGGCACTGGGAAGGTGTTCAGTATTTGCAGATTGAGTGGACAAAAACATCATTCATTGCACCAGATAAAATTCTCTGTGAACATACTTTTCAATCCTTAAACAGGATGCTTTTATCTTTTCCCCATGCTCTAGATAAACCTAAAAACGTAAGTAAAAAATAAATAAGGGGGCCGGGCGCTGTGGCTCACGCCTGTAATCCTAGCTCTTGGGAGGCCGAGGCGGGCGGATTGCTCAAGGTCAGGAGTTCAAAACCAGCCTGAGCAAGAGCGAGACCCCGTCTCTACTATAAATAGAAAGAAATTAATTGGCCAACTGATATATATATAAAAAATTAGCCGGGCATGGTGGCGCATGCCTGTAGTCCCAGCTACCCGGGAGGCTGAGGCAGAAGGATCACTTGAGCCCAGGAGTTTGAGGTTGCTGTGAGCTAGGCTGACGCCACGGCACTCACTCTAGCCTGGGCAACAAAGCGAGACTCTGTCTCAAAAAAAAAAAAAATAAAAATAAAAATAAATAAGGGGAAAGTTCTGACTGAAAAGATGGCTGGCTCTCCGCCACTGAAAAGTTGCTACTTCTAAATGACTACGCCCACTTTCCTGTTGCCTTCTTGGTGAACATTACCATTTGCATCAGAATAAGGAGCATCTGTACATCTGTATAGGAGCCTTTTTTTATTTTAACCAAAGACATTTAACTTTCTAATAAATTCCCTTTGTGGGAAAGAATGCTAATGGTTTTATACTAGCTCTCCATCATAAGCAACAAATTTCTATAACTTGGCAAGCATGCAAATAACACAGATTATTGTATTAGATACAGAAGGGACTGACTAGGGCAAAGAGGTATATGAAACCCTGCCCTATCATGTTCAGAACTCTTCGATTAATTCATCAGCATAGCTAACCTCCCTTTGAAAGAAACTCCTGGTAACTGACCTGGGCTGAAAAATAATTCATTAGCAAAAAAGACAGGGAACTGGATCTGTTTGGTGCCTAATTCCCGTAATTCCTAAGCCTGGGAATGTGGCTTTTAACAATGTAGTCACTAAAATAAAATTGCTCTACAATGTGAAAGTACCTACCCTGTGGAGTTTGTTGTAACAGGATGTAACCTATAAACGCAAGGGATCTTCACTCTATAAAACCTCTCCAAAATAAAAACACACAGATATCTAAGATAAAAGAATAGATCCTCTTCCAACTGAACATGGGAAGTATACCAGCATGCTGTTTAAAGTGTAAATTCTGATGAAGAAACTAAATGTACTATATACTAGCAACTCCATAATTCTCTTGCTTATCTGGATTTTTTTATGTCTGATTTTTAAAAAATGCTAAACCAGGCACAGTGGCACATGCCTGTAATCTCAGCTATTCAAGAGGCTGAAGTGGGAGGATCACTTGAGCCCACGAGCTTGAGTCCAGCCTGGGCAACATGATGAGACCACATCTCTAAAAAAAAAATAATAATAAAATGCTAGCCACTTTCCTGATGTTGAAGTAACTCTATATCCAATAATTAAATGACATCTTTAGAAAAGTAAAACTGATAGTTAGAAAAGAGTAATACATGCAGGGTGAGCATTTTTCATTTTCCATCACACTGGCATTTATTGACTTTTAAAAGAAGGAAACAAACATACGAAAGAATTGAATCTATGTAGGAATTAATATTCTATTCAGTTCAATTCACAATTCAGTATTTGTAAAGACCATGTAAGGACACTACATTATCCTTATAAAGATGAGTAAGAGCCATCTTGTGTTCAAAAGTTTGAAAGTAGAATACAAAATTATAAAGGCTTAAATAACTGCTGTGCAGATTCAGAGGGAGAAGTCATAACCCACTGGAGAGTCAGACAGCATTCTGATATAGAACAGGAAGTGGCACACTTTAGGGGAGGGAAACATAAGATAGGGAGGTAAAATGTTCAGTTAAAGAGAAACAGGACACAAGCAGGGGAGTTGGAGGTAAGAAAAAAGGAACAAGAAGGTTCTTTGATAAAATGAATACAACAATGATAAAAACTAATATTTAGTGTTCAAACTGTGCTAAAATGTTTTGCATGTGCTTTCTCCTTCAATCCTGTCTCCTCACAAGGATCCGACAGACAGGTATTATCATGCCCACTTGCATGGGAGTAAAATGAGGTGTGGAAAAGTTAAGTGCATCACAAGGTTAATCAGTGGAGCCAGGATTTGAACCCAGGCAATCTGCCACCTCTTACTTATGAACCCCAGGCTTTGCCACCTCCTACAATACTATGCAGAGATAGATGTCAAAGACAACTTCTGATGAGGGAATGACATCTGAAACGGTAGCAGGACACAGGATGGAGGAGGAGACTATAATAAGGAAACAAAGTTAAGAGATCATTGTAGGAATCCAGAAGAGAGGTACTGCATACCTGAATTAACTATGCATAAAACAGTGACCTAGAAGAAGTCAGAGGCCTCGGAGATATCACTGGCTCTACCGTAATTCGACTATGTGCTCCTAGATACGCCAATTAACTTCTGGAGGCCTCTTGTTTGCTGCTGAAAGTCCTCAAAGATAATACTTGTTTCCACCTAGTTCTCTATTTTTAATTAAATCTCAGGAGTTACTGATTAAATAACTACTAAACATCATAAATGTGTGTGTCTTTGTATACCGTAATATTGGCTCCAGTTAGGCGGTTGATTCGATGCATGTGTTTACAAAACTCTGGACCATGTCCTTCACGGTCTTTATCATTATTCGTGACAAATAAATAGGCATGTATCATTTCATGCAAGAGGGTCTGAAACAGAAAATAAATTTGTTATGGCATTTTTGAAAATAAAAATATATTCTGTTACTCTACTGGAGGTCTTTTTTGGATCACAAGCTTCTTTCAGAAACAGAAAAATCATGAACTATTTTTCTAGAAAAATTATATAGGCACACATTCACAAAACTTTGCGTACAGGTTGAGCATCCCAAATTCAGAAACCCCAAATCTGAAACTTTCTGAACACCGATGTGACACCCAAAGGAAATGCCCACTGGAGCATCTCAGATTTGGGTTGCTCTGCCCAAGTATGATGCAAATATTTCAAAATCTGAAAAAATCCAAAATCCAAAACACTTCTGGTTCTAAGCATTTCAGATAAGCAATAATCAACCTATATAATATTTGAAACTCTGTACATCCCACGTTAAGTAAGAACTTGTTCTAGGAAGCCTTTTAAACTATGAATCAAAATCCAGAAGAAAAGATCAATAAATTCAACTACATAAAAACTTTAAAATTCTGATGGAAAAAAATTGCCATAAATGAAAAGACAAACTAAGAAAAATATGTGTGGCATTCATATCACAAACTATTAATTCCTACTATATAAAGAGCTCCTAATGTCAACAGGGGAACTGACAAACAGGCCAATTTTAAAGTGGGCAAAGGTCATGGAGTCACAGAAAAAGAAGTATAAGCATATGAAAAAGAAGTGTAAGCATATGAAAAAACTGCTCAACCTCATTTATAAAAAGAGAAATGCAAATTAATACTATATTAAAATACCATTTCTTGCTTACAAGGTTGGTAAAACTTCTAAAGTTTGACACTGTTAGTAAAGGAATAACAAGCATTCCCATATATTGCTGGTGGGAGTGCAAAATGGTACAGTTCCCATGGTGGAGAGTTTGGTAGCATCTAACGAAATTACAAATCCAATGTGTCCTTTGAGCCAGCAACACCAAGACTAGCATGGGCCAGGTGTAGTGGCTCATGCCTGTCATCCCAGCACTTTAGGGGGCCAAGGCAGGAAGATTGCTTGAGAACAGGAGTTTGAGACCAGCCTGGGCAACATAGCAAGACCCCATCTCCACAAATAAATAAATAAATAAATAGCCAGGTGTAGGGTCATTATGTGTTATTGTATTGTTATAAAATGTTCCACTTTTCTTCCAGTAAAACTTCTTCCCTGGAAGTCTTTAGACTGATACTAATACTGGTTGAGCATCTCTAATCTGAAAATCTTAAATGCTCCAAAATCTAAAACTTTTTTAACACCTACATTACACTCAAAGATCATCCTCCAAGGAAATGCTCACTGAAGCATTTAGAATTTGGGAAATTTGGATTAGGGATGCTCAATCAGTAAGTATAATGCAAATATTCTGAAAGCCAAAAAAAATCCAAAACACTTCCAGTTCTAAGCACTTTGGATAAGGGATATCCAACCTGTATAGCCACAACAGCTTTCTGTTTTTAAGTGTTTAGATGATACAGATGTTTCCACCCTTTTAAATTTAAATTATGTGTTTTTACTGTAAGCATGTCTCTTTTAATCTAGTATGTCATTCCATGTCTTTAATGGAGTATTGAGTCCACTTACATTTAATACCTAATATCATATTTATGCCTTTCTCTTTATGTCATCTGGCCTTTTTTCTTTCTTTTTCAACTATCAAGCATTTCTATTGTACCATTTTATATTTAGTAGCAATTTTTTTAAAAATTGTGGTAAACAAACACATTAGCATAAAATTTACCACCTTAACCACTATTCTGTGTATAGTTCAGTAGTGTCAAATATTAATATATTCACATCGTCATAAAACCCATTACCTTTTATTATCCTTAAAAACAGCATCCCTCATATTTTCAAGCATGTTTTAACATACTTCCCACTCCATGCAGAGAATCTCTACCAACCATACTCTTTTGTGCAGATTTTTCTTAATTTTTTTTTTTTTTTTGAGACAGAGTCTCACTCTGTTGCCCTGGCTAGAATGCTGTGGCATCAGCCTAGCTCACAGCAACCTCAAACTCCTGGGCTCAAGTGATCCTCCTGCCTCAGCCTCCTGGGCAGCTGGGACTACAGGCATGTGCCACCATGTCTGGCTAATTTTTATTTTTATATATATATATATTTTTAGTTGTCCAACTAATTTATTTCTATTTTTTTAGTAGAGATGGGGTCTCACTCTTGCTCAGGCTGGTCTTGAATTCCTGAGCTCAAATGATCCTCCCGCCTCGGCCTCCCCAGAGTGGTAGGATTACAAGTGTGAGCCACCACGCCCAGCCCAGATTTTTCAAAAGTGACATAATTGAGGCAGGACTAGCCACACTGGGTGCATCCTGGGGAATTACAGGCATCTACTAAATCCAATTTAAGGTAAACTGGGAGTTCCCACTTCTCTATTTTGCCAGCAGGAATGACCAGCTTTGGATAATGAAGTATGCCCTCAGGGTGGTTTGTGCTGCAAACTCAGCTAGGTGTCCTGGGAGGACAGCACTGTGGCCTTAGAACAAAGGAGAATCTAAATTTGTGTGTCTCAACAGGAAAACTCGAATCCTAAGTTTTTCTCTGCTTCTAAATACATAACTTAAGCCAGTTACTTAACTTCTCTGAACTTTAATTTCCTCATTCATAAAAATGAAAATGGGCTGGTGCAGTGGCTTACACCTGTAATCCTAGCACTTTGGGAGGTGGAGGTGGGAGCCTTGATTGAGGCCAGGAGTTCAAGATTGGACTAAGCAACACAGCGAGACCCTACCTCTACAAAAATTGAAAATAGCTGGGCATGATGGCATGTGCCTGTAGTTCCAGCTACTAGGGAGGCCTAGGCAGGAGGATCGGGGGTGGGGGACCTATGGCCTTTTAGGTCCTTAAGTGTGGTCTTTTGACTGAATTCAAATTTTACAGAATAAATCCTTTTATTAAAAGAGGTGCAGCAGAGAAAGATGAATTTTTCTTGCCTCCTTTGGTGCTTACAAAGAACAATCTTGGGCCGGGCGTGGTGGCTCACGCCTGTAATCCTAGCATTCTGGGAGGCCGAGGTGGGCGGATTGCTCAAGGTTGGAAGTTCGAAACCAGCCTGAGTGAGACCCCGTCTCTACTAAAAATAGAAAGAAATTAATTGACCAACTAAAAACATATATACAAAAGAAAAATTAGCCGCGCATGGTGGTGCATGCCTGTAGTCCCTGCTACTCGGGAGGCTGAGGCAGTAGGATCGCTTGAGCCCAGGAGATTGAGGTTGCTGTGAGCTAGGCTGACGCCACGGCACTCACTCTAGCCTGAGCAACAAAGTGAAACTCTGTCTCAAAAAAAAAAAAAGAACAATCTTGAAATCAGCAGGCTGCAGTTTCCCCACCCCTGGCAGGTGTTTGAAGTTGCAATGAGCTATGATGCTGCCACAATACTCTACCCAAGGCAACAGAGTGACATCCTGTCTCAAAAAATAAAAAATGAAAATAACAACACGCATTGCAACATAAACATGACTATTGTAAAGATCAAAAGAGATAACAAGCCTGTAACTATGAAGCACTATCAAAACACAGGGTCTTCATTATTATTTGCCCCACAGTTCAAGTTTCCACTGAGGGCAAAGTGATTTTTATTTTTAAACATATCGGTTGATTCATAGCAGTCAAAATCAATGATAAGCGTTAGTAAACTACTGAGCTAAGAAGCAGGTTTATGCAAAGAATACCTCTACAAGATCCTTTCTTGGCCTCAACTTTAAAAGGGGTTCACTGAGTCGGATGGAACACATTCCACCTTTCCCTTCATAGCTGCATATCCCAGCGCACCTGGAAAACAACAGCCACAAAAATGTGTTACATTTGCCAAATATACACAAAAGGGAAACAGGGATGGAAGAGCAAATCCTTATACATTCTTGGGCAGCTTACAACAAGAGAGCTCCATTGGCAGATTGCTTTCTTGAAAGTATACCCTGTTGGTTAGCAGATGCTTGCATTTCACCCAGTTCGTTAGTGAACAGTACCGGCTTCCCTTACCCTAGCCAGGCTGCAACAGCTCAAAGAAGACAATCCCATTCTGCTACTCCCAGTCTCCCCTCCACAAGCTATCATCAGTTTGGGGTAGTTAACAAACTGATCTCCAGTAGCACATCTCCAAAATTATAATGGAAGACTATATAAAGGAGATTTGTACTTTAAACACAACCCTATATCATATCTTAATCAGTTTCACTGTAGGTTGTTTCCTTTCAGTTAAAAAACAAGCATGCTGGTATACAACTTCATGTGGTTTTTTTTGAGACAGAGTCTTGCTCTGTTGCCTGGGCTAGAATGCCTAGCTCAGAACAACCTCAAACTCCTGAGCTCAAGCAATCCTTTCTGCCTCACCCTCCCGAGTAGCTGGGACCACAGGCATGCACCGCCATGCCCGGCTAATTTTTTCTATATATTTTTAGTTGTCCAGCTAATTTCTTTCTATTTTAAGTAGAGACGGGGGTCTCACTCTTGCTCAAGCTGGTCTTGAACTCCTGACCTTGAGCGATCCTCCCGCCTAGGCCTCCCAGAGTGCTAGGAGTACAGGCCTAAGCCACCACGCCCTGCCTACAACATCATCTTAAACTTGTTAACTCTGCCAAGCGCAGAAGTGGATTATTAGTTCAAATTGGAATTTCCCAGACTTAGTGTGTAGAAAAGAGATCCTTTCAGACACATCACTGAGGATCTCTTCTCCATTCCAACACACAAGCTCACTACTAAGTAGTGGTTTCTTAACGAGAATAGCACAGCACACATTCTGTGGAGGTTTCTCTGCAGCCTCAGCACTTTCTTAGGGGCAGATTTGGTTGCTTCTCCCTGCTGGGTCCTGGAGTACGATCATAAAACAAATCAGAAGCTCGTTAATTTCAAGTGAGGTGATATTCAAAGAAAATCCTTTTTTCTCATTTTCTCATTAAACCCCTTACCAGTCCAACAGTCCAACTGTGTGAGCCACACATCTTTCTTAGCTGTTTGAGCGGGAGAAGGGTAAGGAAGGGAGTAATACACCAAGAGAGGAGCTGCCAAACCAGACCCTGTCATTTAACAGCCTCCGGGCACCGTCGGGCGAGAAAGAAGAGAAACCCTGAGGCTGCGCAGAGCTGCCAGTCCCACCTCCTTCCCCCAGAGGGTCGGAACTCACAGGGTCATTCGCATGCTCCACTTCACCTCGACGGCCTCCAGCTGGCCCCAGAAGAACCGGTCGTTAAACTGCACAAACAAGGCCTGCAAATCCGGGGTGGGGTCCACCAACTCCCAGGACGCGTCCACCAGCGACAGCGGCTCCTGGGCCCGATCGCGCTCCGCGACTTGCAAGTCCCATTCCTCCTGAAGCCGCAGAGCCAAAACCAGGTCCTCATCCATCGTTGCCAGGATCCCAGGCGGGGTCTGCCAGCGTTATCGGGCCGCAAACCCACGCAGCGAAGGCGCGGAGGGCCGGGTCGAACTCCTAGGAGATACCGGCTTCCGGGCCGCTCGCGGGTCGGCCCGCCAATCTCGCGAGAGCTCAGGGAAAACAGGTTTGAGAATGACAACGAGAACTGAGGTTACCCTAAACGCCGAAGCCAAGATTCTGGGACTTAAAAGCAAGCGTTGACGACACCTCCTGGCGGCAGAGAACCAGGATTCCTGAGATCAGGCCGAGGAAGCTTCCAGGAAGCTAGTTACAGCCTTCACACCTTGCCTGTAACTTCAAACTCCGGCTACGCGCTCAGCCCATGCGCAGTACATACACCTCTCCGGCTCTCCCGTCACTCACTTCCGCAGTAGCTCCTGCGCATGCGCTCTAAGCACCGGTCCTCTTGCGCAGGCGCACTGTCTCGCTCGGCCCCTCGCGCAGGCGCAGTGTCTGAAGTTCAGAACCGGGCGCAGGCGTACTCGTAGCGTTCCCATCCTACTTCCTCAGCCCTGCACCTCAGCGGGGTTTGGGTGGGTCTCCACAGCGGCGGTGAGTGACAGTGACTGCGTGAGACCCGGACGGAAATGGTGATGGCGATGTCAGACAGTGGGGCGAGCCGCCTGCGGCGGCAGCTGGAGTCGGGCGGCTTTGAGGCGCGGCTGTACGTGAAGCAGCTCTCGCAGCAGTCGGACGGGGACCGGGACCTGCAGGAGCACCGGCAGCGCATCCAGGCGCTGGCGGAGGAGACCGCACAGAACCTGAAGCGCAACGTCTACCAGAACTACCGGCAGTTCATAGAGACGGCCCGCGAGATCTCCTACCTGGAGAGCGAGATGTACCAGCTCAGCCATCTGCTGACCGAGCAGAAGAGCAGCCTGGAGAGCATCCCGCTTACCCTGCTGCCCGCCGCCGCCGCCGCCGGGGCCGCCGCCGCCTCTGGAGGGGAGGAGGGAGGTGGCGGTGCCGGGGGCCGAGACCACCTCCGAAGCCAGACTGGCTTTTTTCCCACCCCTGGGGGCGCCTCCCGCGACAGTTCCGGTCCGGGCGAGGAAGGCAAGCAGCGCACTCTCACCACCCTGCTTGAGAAGGTGGAAGGCTGCAGGCACCTGCTGGAGACGCCGGGACAGTACCTGGTGTACAACGGGGACCTGGTGGAATACGAGGCGGACCACATGGCTCAACTGCAGCGGGTGCACGGCTTTCTGATGAACGACTGTTTGTTGGTGGCCACCTGGCTGCCGCAGAGGCGGGGGATGTATCGCTACAACGCTCTCTATCCCCTAGATGGTTTGGCCGTAGTCAATGTCAAGGACAACCCGCCCATGAAGGACATGTTCAAACTGCTAATGTTCCCCGAGAGCCGAATTTTTCAGGCAGAAAATGCTAAAATCAAACGAGAGTGGCTGGAAGTGCTAGAGGAAACCAAGAGAGCCCTCAGTGAAAAAAGACGAAGGGAGCAGGAGGAGGCAGCGGCCCCTCGAGGGCCACCCCAAGTGACTTCCAAGGCCAGTAACCCGTTTGAGGATGAAGAAGAAGAAGAACCAGCTGTTCCTGAGGTAGAGGAAGAGAAGGTAGACCTCTCGATGGAATGGATCCAAGAGTTACCTGAAGACCTGGATGTCTGTATTGCCCAGAGGGACTTTGAAGGGGCTGTTGACCTACTGGATAAATTGAACCATTACCTGGAAGATAAGCCCAGTCCACCTCCTGTAAAAGAGCTAAGGGCCAAAGTGGATGAGCGTGTGCGACAACTCACTGAGGTGCTAGTGTTCGAACTCTCCCCAGATCGTTCCCTGAGAGGTGGTCCCAAGGCTACTCGCAGGGCGGTTTCTCAACTGATCCGTCTGGGCCAGTGCACGAAAGCTTGTGAGTTGTTTTTGAGAAACAGGGCAGCAGCTGTGCATACTGCAATACGTCAGCTTCGCATTGAAGGTGCCACTTTACTCTATATTCATAAACTCTGCCATGTCTTCTTTACCAGCCTTCTTGAAACTGCAAGAGAATTTGAGATAGATTTTGCAGGCACTGACAGCGGCTGCTACTCTGCCTTTGTGGTCTGGGCAAGATCAGCCATGGGCATGTTCGTGGATGCTTTTAGCAAGCAGGTGTTTGACAGTAAGGAGAGCCTTTCTACAGCAGCCGAGTGTGTAAAAGTAGCTAAGGAGCACTGCCAGCAACTGGGTGATATCGGACTAGACCTCACCTTCATCATCCATGCCCTTCTGGTGAAAGACATCCAAGGGGCCTTGCACAGTTACAAAGAAATCATCATTGAAGCCACTAAGCACCGCAACTCTGAAGAGATGTGGAGGAGGATGAACTTGATGACTCCGGAAGCCCTAGGTAAGCTCAAAGAAGAGATGAAAAGTTGTGGGGTAAGTAACTTTGAGCAGTACACAGGGGATGACTGCTGGGTGAACCTAAGTTACACAGTGGTTGCTTTCACCAAACAGACCATGGGCTTCTTGGAAGAGGCACTGAAGCTGTATTTCCCAGAGCTGCACATGGTACTTTTGGAGAGCCTGGTGGAAATCATTTTGGTTGCTGTCCAGCATGTGGATTATAGTCTTCGGTGTGAGCAGGATCCAGAGAAGAAGGCTTTTATCAGACAGAATGCATCCTTTCTGTATGAAACAGTCCTCCCTGTGGTGGAGAAAAGGTTTGAAGAAGGTGTGGGGAAACCTGCAAAGCAACTCCAAGACCTGAGGAATGCATCTAGACTTATCCGTGTGAATCCCGAAAGTACAACGTCAGTGGTCTGATTGTTTAGGTCTGTTTATATGTGTACATATATATTGCTTATATATTATTTATATTTATATTAAGTTGCATTAGCATATTCTTTATAGTCTCAAACACAGCTTAAAAATAAACAGTGCCCTCTTAGAAATGCAAAATCAAAAAGACAAAAAATTTTTAAATTAAGGCCAAATAACAAAAAATATTGGAATTATTAAAACCTATAGTATGCTATCCTTTTAAATTATGCTAATTCTCTACTGAATGTATGCTCACACTATAGTATTTCAGTTTTATCCTTTGAGTCAAAATACATTTTCTCACATTATATATTATGTGACACAGAGTCATAACATCTATAAATACATAATATGAGTATGTTGTGAAGTTTCCCAGTTCGCTAAAATGTTAACATTTCTTAAAGTGCCATGTAAAACACCCTGCCTCATATATTTTCCCCCTCCTTAAAATGTAATTGAACAATTTGGGAAAAGAAAGGAGTTGGGAACATTGGTTTTAGGGTAAATTTTTGTCAAAAGAATTATTTCTTGAAACTAGCTAGTGTATGGACTCTTCCATCCTTATGTAATACAAGTGGAAGCTTTCAGAAAAAATAATTCAGCAAATATTTCCAACATAATTTGAATGGCTAATTTTTAGTTGTTAATTAGCAGCTTCATAATATTTGATTTGGGAGCATTTACTTGCAAATCTTAAGGACTGTGACACAATTTTTTTCAACATATTCTAGAATTGTGTGAGTTCCCAGCTGGAACTTGGGTCGTTGTCATATTTAAAAAATAAAGATAATAATAAAAAACAGAATACAGTGAGGAACCTGGCTACGGCTGCCAAGTTTTAGCTGCCCTCTCACAGCCTCCCAGCCCCTCCAGCGTATGTTGCATAGTGGCTCAGGCTTCATCAAATGGAAAAAAAGGTTTTCATTCAAGTAGTTATTTAGACTTCAGGGTCTGGGTGGATGGGAAATTAGAAAAAATCATATGTACCTAGTGTTCTCAAGTAAGACTACTCTGAGGAGAGATTTGGTTTTTTTGTAACAAAGTGAAGAACAGAGGTAGGACAAATGTGCTCAAAGCAGAGGGAAGACAGAACCTTCTCTGACTCCTAGAATGCCTATGCTGCATTTCTCGTTTGATTTTTAAAAGTGAATATAATACTTCCGATTGTTTAGTAAAACAGAAATAGCTAAAGAAATGTGAGCTTCCTAAGGTTTCTAAACTATTGCTTCTATTGTATATTTATTATATAACCTTCCTCATACTTTGAGAGAAATTGTGCTTGCTAGGATATGTTTTTTCCCTAGCTTCTAGTTGGGATTCTTGTTCATAAGTGCCATTGTTGATGCCAGTGATTTCAAAAGGTCATTTCTTTTACCTGAATAAGAATGGTGATAGTAAGACAAAAAATTATGTGAAACCTAAAATAGATTCCAAATAGTGGCTCAGGGTTGTAAAACTCCTTGAATTACTCATGTGCCAGAACAGCCCTTTTGTTTTCTTTTTAGCTATGCATATTTAAAAGGTTAAAAATTATCAGTTACAGATTTCCTTTGACTAATTTTTTTCACATAACTTTAAGGATTTTCTAGATAACTGTAACTGGATATCTCAGCTGAGCAAAGACAGTTGTAATTTGTCTTTTTTAAGATTACTGAAAACTTGAATTTGATCAAATTTTGTGATTGTTATTATTTTGTGCCATTTACAGGTTCCAATATTATATTGTACACCACACGTATTGTGTAAATATATGATGCTGGATCCATGAAATGATACTTCTGAAATCAAAATTTCTCTTAAGGCATGAAGTTGTAAAAACTTAAATGTGTATACTCAGATATTTAAATGGTTGCTTCTTCATGAAACTGCTTTGTAAACTGGAAGTATAGAATTTTCTTTTGTTAAAATTTGTGTGTTCCTTCACAGTTGTAGCTGAAAGAAGTATGGTTTTGGTGAATCAATTAGTGTGGGAAGTGGATTAAAGACCATCAGTGTTGTAATGTCTTTGTGCCTAGGCAGAACGATTATGTTGCATTCCTCAAAGTGGAGTGAAAGCTCTTCTAATTTTTTGGTTTCTATTAGACTCCAAAACAAGTTCTAAAAATTGAATGCAGTTAGAGATTGTCCAGAAATATAGTACATACAGAAATATACCACTTAAGTGTTGATTATCTTTCCTTGTTTGCTTCAAGCATAACACTGTCACTGGAGCTTGGAATTGCAGACTTGATTGAATTAGTTACTGTTGGGGAAAAAAGTCACTCTGTGGAATTAGATCTCTTTTTGATTAAAGCCTTATTTCACTTAAGTGCTAAAAACTCACTAATTTTTGTTCAAATACTACCTATAGTTCAATTATTGGCACTTGCATTTTACAACTTGATATCTTACCTAGGATTGGGAATTTGGGACTTGACATGTAGTATAAAATCAGTATATGTACATTTTGCTTATTGACAATGCTGTGTTATGAGGGAATCTGAAATATTTTGTAAAAATAAAGCTTAAAAACTTACACTGGATAAAATTGATTGATACTACAATGTTTTACCTATTTCTCTTCTTTAATCAGTGTTTATTCTTATATTTTTGTTACTGAAATATTCTTTGAAGAGCCTAGTTTGTTTTTTGTTTATTTATGTGAGGATAGATAGGAATCTATTTGCTAATTTAAATAAGTGTTCTGCTTACTGTCAGAATTGTGAATAAATCAGTTCTCAATTTCTTAGGACTCCTGTGAATGAAAAATTTCAGATGTACAAAATGTGAATTTACTCTAAAAAGTAGATTTAATGCCGTCTGTACCTCCCTGAATAAAGAAAGTAAAATGTAAGCCATGAGACCTAGGAACTAAATGACAAGGTCCTTCTTTTAAAAATATCATATAGATACTGAGGAAATGATCCTATATTTAAAAGCATTGAATGCTGTACCTCACATTGACTATAATGTGGGGATAGGGAGGACAAAATAAATTTAAGCATGCTTTGTCCTATTAAGATGCTTAAAAATTGGGAAAACCAACAAATATAAATTAGAGAATAATTAAATGTGCAGCTGTGTACAGTGGGACTACGGAGAAGGAAGACAGCAGTGTGATTTTAAGGAGTCTAGAAAGTTCTCGTGAAATTGTTGGCATTTGAGCTGGCCCTTGAAGAATGGACAAGACTTAGATGTGCAGGGAAAAAGGAAGAGCATGACCTGAGCAAAGACACAGAAATAAGTGGAAATATAGCTGTCACATGAAGAAACCTGCTTGGATGGGTTACTGAGTGTCGGAAAAGGTAAATAAGCAGTGCGTGCTTATTACAGAAATGTAAATCCATGCAGAAGGGTATGAAGCGAACAGCCAAAGTCCTCACCCCTACCCATACCCCCCAATAATCCCATTAAGTAGAGGTAACCACTGGTGAGAGTTTTATGCACATTCTTTCTCCCAGATGCTGGATTATATTTTATATGTACAGTTCTGCCTCTTGTTTTTAGACACAATAATTCAGTATTTTTAAGACATCTCACATCAACAGCTATAGCTGTACCTCACTGGGTTTTTTTGTTTTTTTTTTTTCTGTCGTGGAATAGTATTCAGTCACAGTGAATGGATATATCATAATTTTTCATTTTCCAATTACTTTGTTGGTTTCAGGTTTTGGTGATTACAAAAAAATCCTTTAAAAATTGTGTGTGTGTGTATGTACATATATATATTTCATATATATATGAAATCTTTGCCTACTTGTGTGAATATATCTATAGGATGCATTTCTAGAAATTGTTCTGCCAAGCTATACATTTTAAATTTAGGTAAACATTGCCAAATTGCTCAATTGCTCCTCAGGAAGGGTATATGCATCATTTTACATTCTCCCCAGCAGTATAGGAAAATGTCTGCTTCCATGAATGCTCATGAAAATGTATTCATTTTTCAAATAATAATCTTAGTAATAAGATTTATTCATTTCACTGATCTTTTCTGTGAAAAAATGGGATCTGGTTTTGTTTGTAATTTTTAGAGGTTGGGCAACTTCATATTTCTTTTATTTCTATTAAACCGGTGGTCCCCAACATTTTTTGGCACCAGGGATGGGTTTCATGGAAGACAGTTTTACCACAGACCCAGGGCAGTGGGGGGGGGGAGTTCAGGATGATTCAAGCACATTACATTGATTGTGCAGTCAAACCTCTGCTCCTGATAATCTGTATTTGCAGCCGCTCCCCAGCGCTAGCATCACCGCCTCAGGTCCACCTCAGATCATCAGGCATTACATTCTCATAAGGAGTGCGCAGCCTAGATCCCTTTCTTGCATTTGCGGTTTACAGTTAGGGTTTGCGCTTCTCTGAGAATCTATTGCCCAGCTGATCTGACAGGAAGCGGAGCTCAGGCAGTGATACAGTGATGGGAGTGGCTGTAAATACAGATGAAGCTTCGCTGGCTCACCTGTTGTTCACCTCCCACTGTGCAGCCTGCTTTCTAAAATGCCACAGATCAGAGTGGCCTTTCACCTGGGGTTGGGACTGCAGTGTTAAACTACTAGTTATGTCCTTTGCCTTTTTTCTCTTAGATTACATGTATTATGGTTTTGTAGGAGTTTATTATGTATTTAGGAAATTAACCTTTCATGTGTACTGCTGTGGCTTTTCTTAGTTTGTCATTTATATATCCATTTATTTATTTTCATAGTGCAGTAAATTTTAACCTGTTATGAAGCCCGATTTATGTGGGGTTTTTTTTCCTTTAAGACCAGGGCTTCAAAAGGCCTTATCCACTTTCAGATTCTAAGAATGTTCACTCATGTTTTTCTAGTAATGATTATATTTGATAGTTGAAGTTTTGCTCATCTATAATTCATTTTAGAGTAAAGAAGGATGCCAGAATCCTGTTTTCACACAAATGATTAGCAAGTTGTCACAGCAATTTTGAATCATCCTTTTCCCCCACTGATTTGAAATGCCATTTTCAGTACTAAATTTATGTACATTTATACTGATGTATATCTGGGTACATATTAAGACTCTATGTACTATTTGGTTGATATTTGTATTTCTGTCCAATAGCAAGCCATTTTAATTAACTGTAGTCTATAGTTTTATAACTGGTAGGACTGGTCTCATTCTTCTGTTTCAGGTTTTCCTAATACAGTCATCCTTCGTATCCGAAGTGATTTAGTTCTAGGACCTCCTAGTATATCAAAATACATGGATGCTCAAGTTCTTAAATATATATATATATATAAATACGATGATCATACTATATATATATAATGGCATGGAATATGCATGTAACCTATGTTGTCTTCCCATATATGTGCTGGTGAAATAAGACACGTTCCTATATCTTTTGATTCCTGAATAATGAGAATGAAAAAATACAGTGAGACACAGGCCACTCGTATCACTTCAGATCGTAACTAGCCACCGTAAGGAGGCATTCTATTGAATCTCATCCCTGTTTCAAACTTCGTCAGAGTTGTATGGGATGTGTGAGATGTATGTGTATGTCAGGTGTTCTGTATTTACTGGGAAATATATATATATATATATATATATACACACACACAGAATATTTGGATTTCATTTTTCCCCACCAGCTTGCCTAGAGCAGTGTTGGGCAATGACAGAGGCAATTGATGGAAAGAGAATATGAGGGAGGAGAAAGAAATCCATCAGCAACACGTGTGAAATGTAACGTTCAGTGACATGAAATAACAACCCAAAGCAGCCCACACAGAGGGGAGGACGTAGGTGGCGGGAAGTCACATGTGACATAGATATAAGGACAGACACAGCCCCCTGCGAGAGGACTGAAGCCAATGTAACCCTGGAATGCAGCAGGAATATTCAGACAGGACAGAAGCCGCATGGAAAAACCAAGTCTTTGTTTACTTAGTGCTATAAACTATATTTTGTCCTGTATTTTCTAATGGATTTGGAGGTATGGGAGAAGGTACAGAGAAGATTGTCATGAGAGATTTCGATTTTTTACATTGCAAAAGTTTTACATTATTTAGGAAAAGTCCCAAGATCTGTTTTAACGGTGAAGAAATGGTGGAGTGACTACTTAACAACAGTAAGAAAATAAAACGCGTGCAGAAACTGTTTCTGCCTAGATATTTCCACACAGACACAAGAATGGACGAGAGGAAAGATGCTTAGATTTACTGAGAAATGAAGGGGTCTGGGGCGTGAGCACATGTCTACACCACTCTGGAGCATGGCCGCTCAGGGGATGTCCCCATCAGTGGTGTCCCCTTTAGGCGAGGCCACCAGGCTTGTGTATCAGCACGGCCAGGCACCTGGGGGGCAGCGGCTCCTAACATTCCGTGCACCTGCACATAATTCCGTTATGACGACTGCAGACAGTTACCTGGCTCGCTCAGCTCACTGCCTCACTTTGGTGGGAGTCTGAGCTGCAGGCAGTGCCTTAGGCGCTGAGCTCTGGCATCTGGAACCCGATCCACTGCAAAGCGAAGGACAGTCGAGGTCTGTGGGGTGTGGATCACGTTTTCCCAACCATGAGTTAAGAAGCACAGTGTTGGTCCTCCATCACTCCGGATGAAACCTGTTTGATTTCATTTGTTCTTCACCCCGTCACGTGTTTGGGTTTCTTCCCCCCAGTCCCTGGCTGTGCCTCTTCTGCGACGGCCGGCAGCATGGCAGGGTCTCTCAGTCCTCTGTCCAGGCAGGGGGCGGAGATGGACGTCTGTCCGCGAGAAGAACAGGGAACTGCGCTCCCAGCTGGCAGAGAGCAAGCAGCAGCTTCGAGACCTCAGGGAGAAACTGAGTATTTCAGAATCGACGGCCTTCTCCCTCACCAACCGGCTGCAGAACTATAGTAAGTTCTGTAGGTTCAGCGTCCGCACGGTGGTGAACGATTGTATGTCTTCTCTCTGAGAAAATAAAGTCTCTAGACGTGGTGCTTCTCTTCCCGTTATCAAAATAAATTCCATCCGGACTATATTCCTAGGAAGGCAAAGGGAGCATTTTAACCTCATTTTTCTGAGGATGGAGAAACTGAGGCACAAAGAGTTTGACCACGATTCCAGGTGAGGAGTAGGATGGAACGTAGGGTAAATCTCAAGTTATGTATTCCTGCAGCTGCCAAGGAAGTGCCTGTGATTTGGGGCACAAGCTACTCTGGTTTGTCTTAGGAGCCTCTTGTACTGTACCGAATCCTGCAGGCACATAACGCCGGTGTTGTAATTTTGGGGACTGATGAGCTTCCAATCAATTCAAGCTTGTGTTGAGGCCTAACAGGAAAGCACTGAGCTGCCCCATGGGGAAGGTGGTGGGACACAGCCCGATTCATGGAGCTTCCAGAGCAGTGTGCTCCTAACGGCAGTTGTGACACTCCTTAGTGACCCCGTCCAGGGAGCCAACCCTGGTGGGAGGGAAGCTCTGCTTCCTGGGACACGGGTTCTACTTTGAGTCCAAGAAAGTCATTTGAAACTTAGCAGGAAGGTAGATGGTGCTTCTGGTTATGTCAGGGAAGCTTTCCCACCTGTGTGTATCCCCTGAGCTGGGAACCTTCAGGGACACAGGACGGCCAGCAGGTGCAGGTGGACCGTGACGGTCTGAGTTAGGAGATGTTGGCCCACGTGTGAACAAGGGACGAGGGGGAGGAGAGCATCAGCCCCTGTTACAAGCAAACCAGTGTGGGGGATGGGCCCTACACACCCACCTGTCATCCTGGCCACTGCCAGCCCTTGTCCTGCTCAGGAAGAGAAGCTCGAGTGACTGAAGTTACCGGAGCAGGGGCACGTGCACAACTGCAGGATTAGGAGGAAGCTTGCAAGTCTGAGGGTGAATCTGCATCATTTTCCTACAAATTATTTTCTAATATATCAGAGGATTTTTTTAAATCAAAAAGAATAAAAATTGAAGCCTATTATGGAAGAGATGAGTTCTGGGAAGGACAAACTGTTTTATTAACACCTTTCCTTCTAATCATAATATAAGCACATGAAATATTGTGAAGAGGAAGAAGATGGAAGAAGGCTGAAGACCTAGTTGAGGTCGCAGTGCTGTGTGTAGAGCAGGGACCCTGGGAATGTCTCCGGGAGCCAATGCAAGTTGTCTACGCTGTGCCTCAGTTTCTTCCACCATTTATACAGTGCTAATGCAGCACCTATTAATATGAGTTGTAATGAACATTCATTAATTCTTGTGTAGCTTTTACAGCAGAGCCTGACAAGAGTAACCACTGTGAGTTCACAGTTCTCTTCCAATTTAACCTAAGCCTCACTAGTGTGTGGAATGTTCTCTCAGGTCCTTGTGGTCTAATGCCTGATATTTCACACAAGCACATCCAGATACGATTTTTATCTGTGAGAGGCTACTGTGTTCTTCACATTCCCAGCACGAGGGAACCACCAGTCCCGTGGTCCTCGGGGCCTTCCCAGCTGTGCAGGAGTCACTGCGTCACACCCAGTGCACTGATTTACGTCACAGGCTGCACGGCTTGGTCACGTGGCCCCTGTTTCAGAGTCAGATGTTAGGGGATGTGAACTCTACTCTCCTAAATCCCAGTTCAATTGCTGCCAAGTAACTTCATGTGCCTTAAAGTTCTCTTTCCTCATCCTTCCATAGGGGATTATCAATGCCATGGAGGTGGGAGGTTGAGAATTATAGTTGCAGAAATCCCCACATAGAACCTGGTACTGGGGACACTTTTGTCCTTGGGATGGACCCTGCCTCCTCTCCTGTGGGAAGTGACCACAGCAGCGTGTCCAGCTTCCCACTGAGGCAGGCATGTGTGTCTTTTCTGAGTGTGAGGAGTGCAGGGACATCCTGGAGGCCGTGCTGGGGGAGAGGCTGGATTTCTGGGAGGAGGAGCGGGCAGAGACACCAGCCTGGGAGGACAAGCTCAGGCAAGGGCGCTGTGTGCAGGGCAGGCAGGTGGGAAGTATGACTCTCTGAAGTGGGGCAGCTCAGCTTATTTATGTCACATAGTATCTCTCTGTTGCACAAATTCACTTTTGTTAATGAAGGCCCTTGGTTGGCAAAATTCTCTGTTACACAAATTCACTTTTGTTAATGAAGGCCCTTGGTTGGCAAAATTTTAAGTAAGCTAATTTATTATACCTATGTCAAACCTATACTCGTTTGAGGCAACATTAATTAAAGCAAGCCACAAGAAATATAAGATATACCCTTTTCAGTACTTTTATTAATAATAGCCAGAGCCTTTAGTGTTGATAATCACACTTTAATTCCAAAGTCAACATAAAAATTCAATACATGTAGTTAAGTTGAAAAGTGTTAGTGAAATAGGAGCTTAGCTTTGCTTTTCCAAACATGTTTCCAAAAGATTGTTTTATTTTAAAACACACACAGTGTTGGATACAAATGCCGTTTAACCATCGTGGTGGGGAAGATCACATTGACTGCTGACAATGGTCACCTCCTCCTCGCTACTAAGTCTGCTGTTCTCAAAGTCTTACGAAGTACAAGATGTGTCTTTTCCTTTACTTCAAAGACTCGTTTGTTGACAGCAATTATGTGACCAAACTTTCCATAACTAGTTGATGATTATTAAAGTTTTGCAGTGGCTACTTTTCCTACTGGTGTTCTACCACCTAAGATAAAAAAAGAGAGACAGCTCATGAAATGATGTTGATTTTGCCCTTCCTCATCCAACTGTTCCTTAAGCCACCACCCAAGACAGACACCTCACACTTGTATAGAGTTTTATAAGTGCAGCAACCAACAGGGATGTCAGTCCACTCTGCAGAATCAGCCCAAGAGGTGAGGGTGTGGCCAATGCCCCAGGGCCAGAGCCAGGGGCTGAACCCCATCATGTTTTCTGAACTTCAAGTTCAGTATGTTCTAGTATATTCACACTTATATTATTTTCTTCCACACAGTCTGGTACTTCCATCTTCCCCATCCATGGCAACTATTCCATTGCCCTTCTACCCTTTTTCTTCAACTGTTCTCCTTTGTCCTGGTCTTCACTTAATCCCAACAGACATCTATCTAAAGCTCTTCTATACAAATATGGCAAATGTACTGAATTAAGATCAGGTAAAAAAAAATACTTGTAAGAAGATCCACTCAAGGATATCATGCTTATTCAATATAATCAACAGATAATTATTTTTTTCAACACCCTCCTCAAACTGCCCCATTAATGCTAGAAGTGTTCTCGACTTCCACTGAGCATTGTATCTCTCTGTTACATCAACACTCTTGACTCTTAACTGCGTACCATAAATCAATGGCCCTACCTTTTTTGGGTGGGACTATTTCTTTATAACTGATAGGATCTAGAGAAGAGTAAGCATATGGTTATTCTCCTAAGGATGTGCTAGTTCTGAGTTCGGAAAGTTCATGTGATACAGACACTGACCCCAATCTCTCACATGGGAAAGAAGGGAACCAGGAATTGAGAAGGACAGAATTGTCCTTCCCAAAGGACAAAAATGAGAGATATTCTCACCAAGAGTAGGATGTTTAAGGTCTGGATTTCTGACTCAGATTGGTTATGTCAGGAACTGAATCTTTGTTATAGAAGACTGCCTATTTTATGCTTGTGTTTTCTTTGTTAATTTTCTCTGAACTTTCTTTTTAGTGTCCTTGAGAAAATTCTAGATTATATAAGTAGTTGCCTGTTTATATTAGAATTTCATTACTATTCATTTTGATAAAGTACTTGGTGCCATAGTACACTTTTTTATTTTAATATATATTGATAAATACAGTGCAAAAACTCCTCATATCTTATTAAACTGCACTTACCAAGCATTTCTTCTAATTTGGTTATGGTAGGTTCATTCACATTAAATATATAGTCATTATTTCTAGGAGAAAAGAATTAATAAGCTTTGTTATTACATAGACTATGGGGAAAAGACAACATTCATTATTTTGTTTTGCTGCTGATCATAGATACTGCAAGAGCACTTTTCAACAGTCTCCCTCGGGGCCAGTCTTTCACAGTTCAAAGACCTCTTGTTCCTGTCCTACCTCCTGGCTTCCTGTTTCATCTTTGGACCATATAAGAGACATAATTGTGAGAGTTTACATATTAAGTTTTATTATTGTTAAATTTGTTTACTTAGAAGAATAAATATCTATGTATTTATACATATAGTCGTATGTAATGTATATGTATTTGTGTATGTGTACATATACACTATACTCCCCCAAAAATCTTCTTGTAATTAATCTATATATTTTAATATTAGGTCAAATACTAGCCTAGAGTACTTTCTTTCTTTGCTTCTACTGCATTTTTATTCATAACCACATAAAATTTTCAGGGTAAGTCATACTGACTTAACTAATTAGGGGATGGATAAGTAAAGTATTAGGTCATTAAATGTGAAATGTCCAATTTCAAATCAAAAGTTTAGTTTCTTATATCTTAAACAAGAAGCAGTACATTAATCAAAGTATGCATCTGAACTATCAACACAGTTTTAACATCTTAACAGTAGCTTGCTTATGCCACCAGTGAAAAAGCCTAAAGAGCAAGTGGCAATAAAATAGTGAAAGGCATTTTCCACAGCTTATTAAGAATTGAATATTTTTCCTTGCAACAAGTAGCCCAAAGCCCGGAAGAAGTGGTAGTCAGTTGGTGCAAGGTCTGGTGAATACGGTGATGATGGAGAGTTTTCAAGTCCAGCCTCTGTAGTTTGAGCAGTGTTTGTGCGATATGTGGTCCAGTGTTGTCTTGTGAAAGAATTGGCCTGTCTCTGTTGACCAATCTCAGCTGCTTAATCGTAAGCATCCTCATCATTTCATCCAACTGGTTGCAGCAGACATATAATAGATTGACTAGGTTTCATGAAGCTGCAGTGGATAATACCAGTGCTGGACCACCAAACAGACACCATTAGCTTTTTCTGATGAGTATTCAGTTTTGGACTGTGTTTTGGCACTTCATCTTCATCCCACTGTTGTCCCAAATGCTTGCAATTATCAAAAAGAATCCATTTTCACCACATGAAACAATTTGGTGTAGAAATGGTTCAGCTTTATGTCGTGATGGCAAAGAAAGGCAAGCTTCGAGATCATTTCTCGTCTGATGCTCGTTTAATTCATGTGGTACCCATCCATCCAGCTTCTTTACCTGGCTGATTTGTTTCAAATGGTCCAATATTGTTGGAATAGTAACGTCAGACCTTGCTGCTAATTCACACGTAAGTTGAGATGAATTCATTTCCACTACAACTTCCAGCTCATCATTATCCACCTTGGTCTCAGATTGCCCACGTGGCTCATTTTCAAGATTAAAATCACCAGAACGAAATTTCTCAAACCATCGTTACTGTGTGTTTGTTAGCCACATCCTCCCCAAACACTTTGTTGATATTTTGAGCTATCTACACTGCATTGGTTCCACAAAGGAACTCATTATTCGAAAATAACACAAATTTTTGACTTATCCTTGGTTTCACAAAAATTGCTCAAAAAAAAATTTGGGCCGGGTGCGGTGGCTCACGCCTGTAATCCTAGCACTCTGGGAGGCCGAGGCGGGCGGATTGCTCAAGGTCAGGAGTTCGAAACCAGCCTGAGCAAGAGCGAGACCCTGTCTCTACTATAAATAGAAAGAAATTAATTGGCCAACTAATATATATAGAAAAAATTAGCCGGGCATGGTGGCACATGCCTGTAGTCCCAGCTACTTGGGAGGCTGAGGCAGAAGGATTGTTTGAGCCCAGGAGTTTGAGGTTGCTGTGAGCTAGGCTGACGCCACGGCACTCACTCTAGCCTAGGCAACAAAGCGAGACACTGTCTCAAATCACAAGCCAAAACGTGCATTTGAAAGACACAATAAACATAAAACAAGACATGTCAAAGTAAAATGTCAGAGTCATCAATAGACAAACTTAGTACTTAAGGAAATCGGACATTTCACACTTAGTAACCTAATACAATATAAAGTTAGGAAACTATGATCTAGTAAGATTATACATTTTTGTGTCTCTGGAATTTGTGCTCAAATGTCATTCCTGTCCTTGCCCTTTTACCACCCACGGGATCTCATCGACTACTTACACCTTCTTTTTCTCCACCACACCAAGCCTCACAAAAGCTGCTAAGGCATTTTTCTGCACATCAGAAGATAATACATCATAACACTGAGAGGCACCTAAAATAGAGGGTGAAGAAGAGTCAGAGTTAGTGGACTACTGCTTTGTTCTCAACTAAAACAAATTATCACCCACAGAGGTTTGACTGACCTTGATCAAGAAGTTGGCTTGTAAATTTTCTGACTGCAACCAAGTACTGTTTCTCACTGAAGCGGTCCTCTTCTTCACTCAAGAGGTATTTGCAAACTATCTGATTTTATGACAGAGGATAAAGGGAACAGAAAAAGGGTAGAATACAACAGAATAGTAAATAACTTTCCTTTGCCTCTTTTAAGAGAATGACATATTAGAGCAGCCTAAAAACTCTCCAACCCTAGAGCAGAGAAAAGCTGAAGGATTGTTAGGACATCTCTTTCAAGCTTCTATTACCTTTTATAATTAGAAAAAGGGGGTTTGAAACAATATTGGTATTTATTAAAGTATAATTTTTTATATTAATATTAATGGATTGCAAGTTAATTACTATCAGCTTAATCTCTTACGCTACTTAGGAAGAGAGGGGACAGATTTATATAATTTTGGTTTTTTTCCTCTAAATACACCTAACAAAGTGCCAGGCCCTAAAATACTTGATGATTTCTACTGTGGGAAGGTGATTAAGGGTAGAACTAACACTTATCAGATGCTCACTAAGTGCTAGGCTTTGTGCAAGGGAGGCATGGTCATGGGTCATGAGTCATTTCATGGCCCACAAACACCACTCTGCCAGGAAGTTAGTCCTGGTGCCAGAGGCTGGTGCGAGTATGAACAGAGCTGAGTCACAGAATCCTCGTCTAAAATATGTGCAGGCCTCCCGTGTGGTTTATGTTTAAAATTCCCTTTCTTCCTCTGAATCCTGGCACAATTCCTGCTGGACACGTAACTATCACCTCTCTCCAACCACTCCTAAGCGCTCAGACAAACTCAGATACTTTCACTTGAACTTTTTATTTTCCTTATAATATTAGCATTTAGCTATATAAATAATTGACTTTATGAATCATTCAAGTCTTACCTTTACTGAGTGCCTACAATATTAATATATCAAACACCTTGCTACATACTATGAACGAAAGACATAAGATACAGGAGGACAAACAATGTCTGGGTGTAATTGTGGTCACATAAATATTGTGCTCATGGCATTGCTAAGTTGTTATCCTCTTGGGTCTTCCTCCTATATAAATGGAGCATTTCATCTCTCACTGGAGAGGTGAAATCATTCATTGTATTAATCAATCTCTGTAGTTCTATCATTTGCCTGGGGAAGATATCTGTCCTTCAGATGAGAAATAAGCAGACTGAGAAGTCTTATTATATTTCACATGGGAAGCATGAAGGAGAATGCCTAATTTACATACCTGATAACATTCCACAAAAGGCTTAAAGAGTCCTGTTAAAAATTCTAACACAGTATTTCCTTTCTCTGTAATTAGGATGTCCTTCGTAGTCACTTGTATGGCCTCACATTTACAAAGCAGGTAACAGCCTTCTTCGAAGTCCTGGAAAGGGCAGGGAAAGCCATAAAGCACCCGCTCCTTTGGGTTAATGTGTGCACTGCTGATCTCAATGTATGTAGCGACACACCCTCAGACATCTCAGAGAACACCAGCTATTTCCACAGCCCCTCCCAGAACAATTCTTGTTAGACAGTAGCCAGAGAACCATTTGTTCTAACATTCAAAATGCTGATCCTCAAACATAAAAAATTCATAAACAAAAGGCATTTGCCTGGCTGACTCATTCCAACAAGCTGATAACAGGAAAATGAGTGCTGATTTTTTAAAGTTTACTAAAACAGAATTAGTTTATTTACAGTGGCCTCACTAATGGTTTGAAGAATGACCCTCCTCTCACCAAATAATCCTAAGTCATTAATTAAACTTGACCTGGGTTTAAACTACAGTCTGCTAAACTGTGAGTGTCCCAGTTTCTCTTTACTGCCCCCACTTCACCTCGAAGAAAGAGACGACACATTGCCTGCAACACGGCTGTGAATTCATGCCTAAGTTTCCAGAACTCACACTGCAGGCACACTTGCTCTTTGTTGTAAGGACTTTACCTTTAGTGTGTTTCCTGGAAGGAAGATGAACTCATCTGAAAAAACATCTCGTAGGAAATGAAAGCAACTGTAGACATCCTCTGGAAATAAATTCATTACATAAAATTACAACATTGCTTTTTAAACTTTTGGGGAGTACCAGGAAGTCCATGATACGCCCAAATACAGTGTTTCAAAGGCATATTTTTATTCATAAACAGGGATAAGAATTAAGTCCCCTAAAAGAAGCTAAAATCAATCCAAATTTTTTTTTTTTTTTTTTTTTTTTTTTTTGAGACAGAGTCTCACTTTCTTGCCCAGGCTAGAGTGAGTGCCATGGCGTCAGCCTAGCTCACAGCAACCTCAAACTCCTGGGCTCAAGCAATCCTCCTGCCTCAGCCTCCCAAGTAGCTGGGACTACAGGCATGTGCCATCATGCCCGGCTAATTTTTTCTATATATGTATTAGTTGGCCAATTAATTTCTTTCTATTTATAGTAGAGACGGGGTCTTACTCTTGCTCAGGCTGGTTTCGAACTCCTGACCTCGAGCAATCCTCCCGCCTCGGCCTCCCAGAGTGCTAGGATTACAGGCGTGAGCCACCGCGCCCGGCCCCAAATTTTACTTGCAAAGCAAACTACAGTATAGCATAGTTTTTAAATGATTAAATCTAAATTACAACCAGGCCTGTAATCAGCCAGTCTGGTAATGAGCATGACACCACAGTCCTTAGAAGCTGGGGTACTTCACTTTCCCCTTCCCCTTTGTTCCCTAGTAGAGAAGGAACTGATTTCTTAATTTCCCTCTATATTCATATTTCCTGGTATCTTTACTGCATCTTTAGCACTTTTCCTTAGACTCAACTGTGGAACTTTGAAAAACTAAGACCAAAACAAAACACTAATGGCTTGCCCACACCCCAGACCAAGAGAAGAAGAGCCTCTGAGGAGAGGCTCACCCTGCCCACTC